AGGAATCATAACTGCAATAATCGACGCTAGTAACCCTACTTGCCACACAACAAGACAGTTTACTAGAAAACAGGTCTTTTGACTCCCATATTAATAAACTAGCTTTTTTCCGATGTCTTGTTGGATAAAAAATCCACAGTTGCCAATGCAATGCATATGCACGTGCTTACTTTTTTCAATAAACATGTATAGGTCACAATAGCACAACACTTGTAGCCTGCACGACTGGATTGAGACATTGTATTACACGGTGAGTGCTACCTGAAAAAATAATGTGTGTGAATTTATCAACTATTTGCTTAATTTTCTAGTTGAGCCTACTAATTTTTATATGCATGCTAATGTTACTGATTTTCTAGAGCTATATTGCATTCTTGTGTTCTTCTAGTTGGTCTTCAGCTAATGTTTCAGATTATGTTATTTATTAAATAGTGTAAATACTCATTGTGTTAAAGATAATTCTTTTTTTATAGTTGAATCAAAAATACAAGTTAGGAATAAAAGGGCAATGGATACCACCGAGTGCATCATGGCAGCATCTTTGTTTGCATCTTCGTAACCATAAAATTTTATCCTCATTTCATCTATGATTGTTGTGACATTCACCCTATGCTTTTGATTGTATTCTTGTATAAACATTATTATTTGCTGATCAATATTAATAAATTATTCTGTTAATTTTACTGGAGGTTCTTGCATGCATGTTAACCCCCTTTTCCTTTGTGGTCCAGATATGCTGACAAATCCTTGTAAGCACTATAAATGATCCCACAACTTTGAAGAATCAGGACACAAAGAGGATGCATCCTAGGACCTACTATACATGTCATTTTTTTTGCTTAACCATCTTAAATTTTTGAACGAAACAACCAATACGTATTGCTCTTGGTGTTAATTAGATCGAGTTCCTGCAAGTTTTTATGAACAAGCATTAATTAATTTTCTTAACCCTGAAACTGAACTGAATCTTAGCTTAAGAAAAAGAATATCAGGATTTTCATTTTTCATCTCAGAAGTGCTAAAAGGATTGTTGCTAAAACGAAATCTTCTCAGATTCATTCAATGAAAGAAACTGATCACTTCTCATTCATGTACACTATTAGTTCTACGATCAATGAGATCCATTCTATCCTTACAGAAGAGTATTCAGGGCCTTTCCCTGTTTGCTTGGTCGTAAACGATCGTAAATTTCCAGCCAAAACAGTATTTTTCTCTCACACCAAACCAACCAGTAGTAATAATCCACAATCGTATATGATCGTTTCAGCCCCAGCCGAACAGGCTGTTTGTAGCTGGTGGCTGATTGTAATTATATCTACTACCATTGATAGTTATTTATTCTATTGCCGAATAGATCGTTATGCCAAAGGAGGTTCAAATCCCCAAAAGAAGTGTATCTAGTATTTAACTTTTGGTTCATGGGTTCAAATCCCCAAAAGTCGGCCATTGTTCTCTTGGATATTGTAGTACCAATGGAGTGCAATTTTGTTCTGGTGGTTTGTTTTTTTTTTCCTTCCTCTCTGCTAAACATTGTCCTGCAAATGTATGCCCAGTGTCAATCTAAACAATCAAATTATCTTGTAAAAAAGAAAACTAGCAGGGAAAAGAAAAAATATATGTAACCATAAAGCTCTATTTTAAGGAAGGCCACCGTAACAAGAGTGGGGCAGGGGTTTGGCCTAGAGAAGGCCTTCTTCATATTTGGAATGCTGTGGGAGCAGTCTTAATCCCTTCGGGTCGAGTTTTTACAACCATAGTTATTTTTCTTGTTTCTGATCCATAATTTCTTATGTCCAAAGTTATATATAACCATAAACATATAAATATTTGTTTTTTGCATTCTAAATATTCACAAATAGATTGTGGGGACTGGGGACTCAGGTTTATTCTCCCCGCTCCCATTGCACTAGCCCAGATTGCCCCGGCCCCCACCACTCCAGGCTAGCTCACCGCAGCCCCCGCCACACGGCCTCAGCTTGCCGCCGCCCCTGCTCCCAGGTTCGGCACGAGCGACCTCACCGCATCTGGGCCCGTGGCTGCTGCCCGCACCTTGCCTCGTCGCCTCGCGGGCCCAGAGGCACCGCCATCTTCCCCTCACCCCATCAGTTCGCCACCGCCACGGGCCGAGGCCGAGAAGGCTCAGGTGACGGTGGCCACCGGTGGTGAGCTTGCTTCATTCGGCACTTCCGTCCTCACCTTTCCTCGCCACCAATGTAGGCCTACCCTGCATCGCCGTCCCCCTGTCGCCCCTAGCACGCTGCCAGAACGGTCCCAGTTGCTGAAGCTTGTTTGCTCGGATGGAATTCACTTGTATCCTTCTTAATCCCTTTTCGAGCATCACCTTTTGTAGCTAGGTTCGATCAAATTGGTTTTGAATATTAGGTTCCATGATTTTGGTACCAATGTTTTCAAGACGTTCGATTAATCGCGACTAATCGTCCTAGATGGTTGGAGCTACTCGACCGTGGCCTCAACTGGCCGAGCTTGGACGTCCGATTAGTCGTCGCCCGACGCGATTAATCGTCCGTCCAGTCCGTCCTCACCTTTCCATCTCCAGTTAATATCTAGTTGTCTTATATTTTGGCCCAAACCCATTAGGGTTTCTCTTCTTTCCTATCCTCACTCCCTCACCTCTCACTCACTCGAGCGGTCCACACTCACTCCTCTCACCTCTCCCGTCCGGCTTTGTTTGCTCGGCTGCAGCTTCAGAGCTTCTCTCCTCTCCTCCTTCTTCCCATCCTTTCTCCTCCCTCCCTTCATCATCCTCCCTTTTTGTAGCTAGGTTCGATCAAATTGGTTTTGAATATTAAGTTCCATGATTTTGGTACCAATGTTTTCAAGACGTTCGATTAATCACCTCCTCTAATCTTGATGCTCTACACGGCTTATGCTCTTGGTAGCTACTAGATCTCGGATCGGGCAGCCTCTTGACCAAGTGTTTGCACAAGCCGTCAAGGAGAAGTTGTTCCCGATCCTCGGTTGCCTCCTCGAGCTCGATTGTTGTTGGTTCAAGATCCTCACCGCTCCAGATGTTGCATCTCTTATTGAGAAGGCCATAGCAAAAAAACCTCCGAAATGGTCTGCGGAAGCCAAAGATCCCAAGAGGAAGGCCAAATCTGAGACCCGGATGGAAGTATGGGTGGTGGCCGTCGAAGGACAAGGTGCAATGTATTTTTTTAAAGAAGATAACTCCATCAGTCCAAACAAAGACCTTCTTTGAGGTTATGGTGATGCAATTAAATGTGGAAGTTTGAAAGGTCCTAATATGGCTAGAGAGGAGGTGAATAGCCTATTTAAAAATCTATAAATCAACTAGAGCAATTTGATTAGTATACAAATCTAATGCAAACTTGTCTTATATTTTGGCCCAAACCCATTAGGGTTTCTCTTGTAGGCTTTCACAAACTATCCCTCAATTACTCACTAAGAGCTCTCACTTGCTACTCTAAAGAGCTCAACTAGATGAATGTAAATAATAAAGCAAGCTCTCAATCTAATTACTCATCAACTAGTTTGCGAATGTAAATGAGTAAGTAGAGTGATTATACCGGCGTGTGTAGGATGAACCAATCACAAGATGAATATATAGCCAATCACCGGAGAATGACAAAGAAGAGAGACAATCGATTTTCTCCCGAGGTTCTTGCTTGCCAACACGCTTACGTCCGTTACCAACACTTGGTGGTTCGGCGGCTCTCTCTTGGACACCGCAAGAACCGACCCACAAGTCTCAATGACACAAGCAATTTACTAGAGTTACCTTTCGACGCTCGCTCCCTCTACAACTCCCTCTCACAATCACCAAGGCGCCACGAACAATCACCAACCCATGCCGATCCTTCACATTGCTCCAACTGTCTAGGTGGTGGCAACCACCAAGAGAAACAAGCGAAATCATGCAAGCCAACACACGAATACCAAGTGCCACTAGATGCAATCACTCAAGCAATGCACTTGGATTCTCTCCCAATCTCACAATGATAATGGATCAATGATAGAGATGAGTGGGAGAACTTTGGCTAAGCTCAAACGTTGCTATGTCAATGAAAATGTGCAAGAGAGCTCCCTTGAGCGGGGCTATGAAGAGAGCCCCCATCAAATAGAGTTCCTCCTCCTGGGCAAAACATGCTCGACCGGACGCTCATCATACCGATCATCTCCCCTCGTTCAAGCTTGATGACGCTCGTCACCAGCTTCAAACGCTGTTCGTTAGATTTCAGCTTATGCTCTCTTTCTCTATGTACTTGTGTAGATCCGGCGTCGGTCGTTTCCAATAAGCTCCCGAGCATGTTTTTTCGATGGAACGTGTACATGCACCTTGATCGGACAAGGAGAAGTTGGTTCTACTCCTTCCCATCAGCCTCCTCGGCCTTTTGACCTTTCACCCGGTCATTGAGTGACCAGCGTCGGTCGAAGACTCGCCACATCATTTCGACCAACTCCATTCTTTCTAACTTCAACATCCTCAAATATGCCAACTCCGGAATTATGCATCCAAATATAATAGAAAATATATATCTCATTTTTCCATTGAGAAGGCCATAGGAAAGGGACCCAAACCCATCTCAACCCCGCAAACACCTTGTGCACATGTGTTAGCATATTTTCACAAATATTTTCAAGGATCCCAAGAGGAGATCCCAAATGCTTAAGACCCTGAGATGGAGCATCTAGTGGCACTTTGTGGCATTTCGATATTTACAAGACGGCTATCTATCCCGAATATGATCACACTCACTAAGTTTTGATCACTAAAAAAATAACTCCATTTTATACCTTTGCCTTGAGCCTTTTTTTTCTCTTTCTTCTTATCAAGTTCAAGCATTTGATGATCACCATGCTATCACCATTGTCATGATCTTCGTCATTGCTTCATCACTTGGAGTAGTGCTACCTATCTCATAATCATCTTGATAAACTAGGTTAGCACTTAGGGTTTCATCAATTAACCAAAACCAAACTAGAGCTTTCAAAGTTGCCCTGAGATTATTGCTAGAGAGATGGATGCTTACATCAAGAAGCATACAAGGTCTGTAGTTGTGGTAGTTCCTGAAGTTCAACAAGATTCTGAAGAGGGTGAAGGTGATGAAGTTACTGAAGTTGAACTAGAGAAAGTGCCTAGTTCTGGGACAAAGACCAAGCAGAAGCAAGTACAAGAAAAGAAGAAAATAGCTCAAGCTTCAATCGCTGCGTATATGGCTGCTGCTGGTTCATCTAAACCAGCAAATCAAAAGAACACCAAGTCAGTTGTTGCCATGCTTCGGAAGACACCAGAAGAGATAGTTTTAGAAAGGCACAAATTCAAGATTTCTCAGCCTACTCTAGAGCATTGCACAAAGAAAGAGAACAAACAAGTTGTTGATGACCATGTAGCTGATTTCTTTTATGAAAATCGTATATCATTCAATGTCATTAACTCAAGAAGCTGGGAGATTATGCTTGAATCAATTGGACAGTATGGACCTGGGTACCGCTCACCATCCATGCATGAAATTAGGGAGCCATTGTTAGAAAGGGCTGTCAACAAGACAACAGAACTGAGAAAGAAGCATGAGGAAGCTTGGAAAGAGTATGGTTGCACTCTCATGTCTGATGGTTGGACAGATACTAGCCATCGTCATCTAATCAATTTTCTTGCAAACAGTCCAGTAGAGACCTTCTTCCTAGGTTTAGTGGATGCATCAAGTGAGGTAGCTGATAAGGATATGCTAGCAGATTTGTTGGAGAAGCAAATTGACAAGATTAGAATGGAATATGTGGTGCAGGTTGTCACAGACAATGGGTCCAACTTCAAGGCAGCGGGAAGGATTTTAATGGATAGGATCCCACACTTGTTTTGGACACCTTGTGCTGCCCATTGCCTGAATTTGCTGCTGCAAGACATTGGAGAGATTAAAGAGTTTAACACTGTCATAAATTCAGCAAAGAAGGTGAGCAGATTTCTATACAAGCATGGGAGGATACTTAATCTAATGAGACAACAAATAGGTGGGGATTTTGTGAGGCCAGCTGTGACTCGGTTTGCTACGTCTTATCTCACTTTGGCAAGTATGTATAAAAATAAGAATGATTTGAGAGCTTTAGTTGTCAGCGAGGAATGGCACAATAATCCCCTGTCTTTGTTTATTGAAGGCAAACGAGTTGAGGATATTATCTTGTCTGTGCCATTTTGGACTAAATTGGAATATTGCTTGAAAGCTTCACAGCCACTTCTCATTGCTCTACGGATTGTAGATGGAGATGAGACACCAGCAGCTCCTGAGATCACTGTAGCTATAGATGTTGCAAAAAACACCCTAAAAGAATCTCTAAAAGATAAACCCGATTTACTTGTCGAGGTAATGGTGTTATATGATAAGAGGTGGGAAACCCAAATGGAGCAAAAGCTATAGGGGGCAGCCCTTTTCTTGAATCCAAGCAAGTTCTTTGCCATAAGGGAGAAAGACAAGAGACAAGCTGGAAGGTTAAGAGGCATATTCAATCAAGTTCTATGGAAAATGTAAACTGATGACGATGTGTCAACCAAGATTTCGCAGCAAGCTGATGACTATGAACAATTCGAAGGCGAAGGCTTCTCAATGCCTTTAGCTATAAGGGACAGAGAGAAAAAGAACCCTAGTAAGTTTAGAACATTTTCTTTCCTTCTATTGTGCTGATTCTATTTGGCTATGTGCTGATTGTAGTCTAATTGTGTTTCAGTTCGGTGGTGGTGTTCCTATGGTGGCCATACATTTGAACTACAATGTTTAGCAAAGAAAATAATTAGTCTTTGCTGCTCAGCATCAGGTTGTGAGCGTAGCTGGAGTGAATTCTCTAGTGTAAGTATCATTGCTAGAGTGTTAGTGTTGTTGCAAATTATAGATCAATGTGATGTTCTCATGTTAATTTTTTTCTGCAGATCCACACCAAAAAGAGGAATAGATTAGAGCACAAGAGGTTAAATAAATTGGTTTATGTCAGTTACAACAACAAAAATGACAAACATGTTTCAAAAAATTCGAGAACTTGGTTGCAAAGGAAAAAGGAGCAACCCTCTCTTGCTAGAAGAGTTTCAGTGGGATAGTGAATGGGTGGATGAGAATTCTGAGGAGGTGTCTTGGGTTGTTGTGGATGAAGTTATTGGTGCATCTGAGAATCTAAGGAGTCGTAACTTGCATAGGGTTGCTTGCTACCGTCGTCTTTGCGACCAATGTCCGAAAGATTTATACTAGGAACAAGAAGCGTCCTAGGAGGACTTCTGCAGCACTACATATATCTGGAGGGGAAGAAGATGATAGTGACCATGATGCCCAAGAAGATCAACATGCATCTAATCCTGTGGTACCAATGGAGGAGGATGAAGACACCCGTGGAGATGGAGGAGGCTTTCGTGTAGATGCTGATTTACTTGAGTAGTTCTTATTATTGGCCATTTTGCCTATTTATGTACTGGACTTGATGTATGCACTATGGCAGTGGCAGTGTGCCACTATGCACTATGCAGTTCTGGACTGGTTTAAATTATGTGCTTTACTGTGTTAATTTGCTTTGTTGATCACTTCATTGCCTTTCACCTAATTACCTTTGTTAACGTGCTTTATTTTTCTATAATTTCAGTTTGGCAGCAGCAGCCAACAAGACAAGAAAGGGCTCTTCAGCAGCCAGGTAAGTGGCCAGCTGACCTATCTATCTAGAGCAGTAGAGCCTAGAACATGTAGTATACTAGTGTGTGTGTGTATATATATATATATATATATATATATATATATGGTATATATTTTATACTGTATATATAACTATATAATATATATATATATGGTATATATCAGTCCCCATATGTAGGGTTCGACCGGGATGACCAGGGGACTCGTCCAGGGTCGATTAATCATCCTGGACGACGACTAATCGTCCTGGACGTCCTGGACGGTCCTTAGGTGTCCAGGCTCGACCAGCCGTCCTGAAAACATTGTTTGGTACTGATTGTGCGCATAAAGATTAATTTTTCTATTTCGATTCCATTTTCATTTTTTTTCTTTTCTTCTAGTTTAGTTGTAATGAGCGGTATGCACAGATTATGGTACCCGGGGTTTATCCATTTGTCTGATTTCATTTCCATACGCATGTGCAATTCATATTTTTTATGGTTTGAAATCCTTTTGAACATCACCGATTCATTCTGCACTCATTGTAATTTGTTTCCTCAAACCCAAGAGGCCAAAGTTGTTTATCCTATGAATTTTTTATTGTTCAGATCCTTGACTTATGTTACTAGTTCTGGCATGATTATAATTTTAAAAATGGCGTATCCAGTGCAGAGAGCTCCCGCTCTGTGCGGGGTCTGGGGAAGGGTGTCAGTGGCAAGCCTTACCCTCGTCTGTGCAATGCGAGGAGACCGCGACTCGAACCCAGGACCTTCCGGTCATAGGCGGTAAGACTCTACCGTTTGCACCAGGCCCGCCCTTCACATGATTATAATTTTACTGAGCTAATAAATTTATGCACCCCACCTGGGCACCAGATGATGTTCATGCTGGACAAGGCCCCAGTCGCTCATCCAAAAGGTTATTTGTTTCTTCATGCTGTTGCTTCATTACCAATCTAGGCAAATGCTTTGTTGTGTGTTGTCAAATTGGGCTTACTAGATATTTATCTATTACCTATTGTTTGATGTATTTATATTTGTTTCAGTCTCTAACTCGATGTGTTGTTGTTGTTTCAGTTTGCAATTCTGCCCTTTCTGGTCTGCAGCTACTACTCTCAGGTAACCAGTTTGCCTGAATCCCAAGGCTTCAGTAGTGTTCCACCAGAGACGCCTCCCCAACATATCCCCTGTGTGACAGACGTAGCAGCATTGGCACATTGTGTGTTTAAAGGTGAGTATGCATTGGTAGCTGGTCAGCTTCGAATGTACTTAAATTTTAGCTCTGAATCATATCTCCTTCCACTAAATTCATTATTTGTTCTACTTTGTTTGGAATGGGAGCACTGCTTTTGTATTTTTATCCAAATAATACAGTATTTGTGCTTTAGGAAACGAATTTTTATAGTCGACAAGTAATTCAACATAAGAATTTGTTTAAGGATGACATGACTATACAACGTTATCTATGCAAGGGTGCACTGTTGGGTTTCACAAGCTCAACTTATAGGGAACGATCAGACTCATTTGGTTGTAAATATATTAATTTGTATGCTTCACTCATTTTATTTTGAACATAGTGAGTTTTAACTTGTAAAAGCAATGTTGTTTTGACCTTAGGATCTTTTGCTATTTACTTTCTCCTATTGTGGGACTACTTTCACACATAATTATTTGTTATTATATGCAATAGGTATAACTGTTGGTGCTAATTTGATCACGTCCCACACATTTTTCTGATGAAAAACTGTCCGTTATCGTTTTAATAATAATTCTCTGCAACTGAAACCAGTATGCTTGGTTCAAGAAAAATGTTTGGGTTTTTATTTCCGTATTAAGAACTAATCTTGCATGTAATAGATCCTTGATTCATCCTGGCTGTCAACATACAGTTCCGATATTTTTAGTTGTTTCTCGGTCTCTTTTTTCCTGATAATATACATATGTTGTTTATTGATTTTTCCTGTTTAGCTCTTTGCTTGTTGCTTGTGTCTGCAGATCCAAGGCATTCTCCTTCAAAGAACCCTCACTAGCTACTCCTCAGGACCGCTCACAGAAAAGGTCATGTTTTTCCATATTATGATCTTTTTGTTTACTCTCACTTACTAAATTGCTCTCCTGATAATAACCAATCACAATCTTATGGATCCTATTAATGCACTCTTCTAATTTGTCTATTCTGAAAAATTATGCTGCATAAAAGTTTAGTTCTTGAATGTGCTATGTAATCATTCATCATGCAATTTTTTTTGAATGTCACAGACTTTTTTCCATTCCTTTGCAGGATGGATGTTGACCAGCGCCTGGTGGATATGATGCCCTTGGCTCAGTTCTGCTTCTGTTCTTCCTTATCTATTTTTTTCATTGTGTGAGATGAGCCTCCAGATGAGTTAGCTTACAGCTTATTTATGTTGTCAGGAGCAGGTCCTTTTTGTCGAGCTTTATATTATCATTTCAGTTATGAATCCTTCCTGCCCTATCCTCTGTTTTTTTCTTCTTTCATGGCTCTCCTTGGAGAGGAGCTCCAGCCGTAGGCATCAGAGGTAAGCTGTCATATGTTCATCACATGTTGATGAAAAGTTGGGATCCCACATGCATTGGATTTTCTATTTACATTAGGAGTTCACCACTGCTTATTTGGTCAAACTAGAAATTTGCACATTCATATTGACTATATCACAAATATTTGTATGCCAAATCAAAAATTTATATTTCGTAGTTCACAAGTGAAATCATGTGCGATTGGACTAGTCTTTGTGTACACATCAATATTTGCTAACAGGAAACTATCTATATTTTTTATGATTCATATAGCCTATTTCATATCTATATCTCTGGTGCTAAATTCGTGTTGTTTTCAAGTTCACACGTGAAATCATAATAATTTACCACTAGACATTAGCTTGAGCTAGTTAGATTAGTTTCTGGTGAACAAGCACACATTATTTTTCTTAACCACAGTTCCCTGCATGTCTTCTTAAAGCTTGAGGCTGCAACTGAATTGAATCTTCTTAGCTTAAGGAATATATCAGGGTTTTTATTTTTCATCTCAGAAGTGCTAAATGATTGTTGCTAAGACCTACTGAGCTACACAATGTAGTAGTACTTCATTTGTCACTACAGTATAAGCCTTATAATATCTGGAACTGTGATTCAGGATAGGTGCCTTCTTTCCAACAATTCAGCATGGTGCATATATACCATACAGTGCATGTCTAGTTTTTTTTTTTTTTTTTTTTTTTTTTAATAAATCTAGCCAGCTTACTTGAACTAGTACTCACTTCCATGATAATTCATCCAGAAAAGCTGTGTTGCATTGCAAATGACATCCAAAGAGCCCTCAATGATGCAGATTTCAGTTCATCAGAAGGAAGCACTTTGATGCCTGTAAATCATCATTGCAGTTCTTCAAAAAACAAAGAGTGTATCTGCACCTTCGGGGGATCCAAATCTCCTCGTTGTGATCAACCTGTGGAGTGTTTTTGTGTGTGTGTGTGTGTGAAAGAATCAAACTGTGGAATTCATAAACCATCGCCTTACTTGCCTCTTCGCTACAGTTTCCCGGTTCAAGTTGTCCCAATCCCAAAGAGTAGGCCTACAGATTCTTTGTAACTATTAAGGAACCAAATAGTTGTATTTGTGATTAGCATCACCTACTATTATTGTTGACAGGATATGTTTGTGCCGATCAAATTAAAATAATATTTATAGTTTAGATAATGAATTATTATTGTTGGCAAGTAAAACACAGTCAAATATATGCATCCCTGAAGGCCATCCCTGAAGGCCTAGCGGGAAAAAATGACAACAGGCTACAAACACACAAAAACCGATAGGAAACACACAAAAATCACCGGAAAACAAACGAGCGAGTGGGCAATAGGCATGAAAGAAAAAAAATCGGCTAGAAACAAAAAAAGATCGGCTAGAAATAGGCACGGAAGAAAAAAAAATCGCAAAACATCGCTTCTGGGGCCGAGCGCGTGTGGTCCGTGGCCTGCGGGTGGGGGATGGCCTCGGCTACTGAATATTATTCAGTATCCTGGGGGACTAACTAGTAGGAAATAATTTTCTTATATAGGGTGTATTTTTTCTACTCTTAGGAGTAGTTACTCTCATCTTCAATAAATCACGTTGTGTACGTGTGCATACTAATTTATCAGTTTGAGTATGTTTAGATACTCAATTTAAGATACTTCAAATCTTAGTATGTGAATTTTTTTAAAAAGCTCATACTTTTTAATATATTACTAAAATACCACTGCAGTAGTATATAAAAAAAGTATAACCATATACTATATGTATATTTGCATACTTACATATATACTACTCTAGATAGTTTAGTATGATGATATACTTCGTCTACGTACACTTCGTCGGGCCATAGACATCCTAAATCTAGAAATATAAACATGAGAGTAACTACTCTTTGAAAGTAGAAAATTATATATATATATATATATATATATATATATATATATTGTTATACACACTTTGAAAATAGCCCTAAGCGTGAAAATTGACGAGCTCCGCCACTGATTACATACGTACTATCATGTAATCTACTTATCTATCTATGAGAAACGAAAAACGCAACAGAATATATAGGAAATCAGTACGATACAATTAAGCTAGCCGAGAAATGCAAGCAGAGGAAGAGCACACCAACACATAAGTACCATCATGCATTGTAGGTGTACAATTGTACTATCAAATAAATCTCTGTATCACTCTAATTAATTAACAACTTGTGATATACTAATATCTACAATCTGCTGGTGAAGGTGGTGGTTTTGGGGGCCTCGGCCTCGGCGGCGTACTTCTTGAGTGCATCGCCGGCGTGCTTGAGGTTGTCCGGCACGGGCAGATTGCAAAGCAGCGTCACCCTTGACTCGGAGATCTGAGGCCCCTTCTTCCCCTGCGTCGACGGATCCTGCCTCCATAGCTTCACATCCCACACCTGCATTGCATGCAACAAATTAATTAAATCACTAGATATGGTACTAGTCAAGATGATGGCATCAATATAATATGCATGTTAAAAAGTATCTTTAAATCTATAACTAAGTTATACATGATCTAATGAGTATTAAATTTTTACTACAATTTAAGCATTCAATAATTAGCTCATCATAAAAATTTCACTAAAATTAGACCATAAAAACTACAGCTATGAATTAATTATAGAAAAGCATAGATCTAAAACCACAATAAAAAAATTGTATTAGAGTATACTATATTATATATTCACTATGTAAATTTACTCATGTGGAGTCTAACAAAATTGGATTTTCTGTTTTATGATGTTTCTATGATTTACTATGTTTTTTCAAAGATTCAATAAAATAAATAAATAAATAAAAGACAAAACCGTCTTTGAAAACCTCTTATAACCGGCTCGGAGAGGTAAAATGAACGATTTTAAAAGTTCAGAACGGTTATTTACCCGGTTTTAGAGTTCAGGGAAGTAAAATAAACTTTCGTAAAAATTAAGGGATGTAATGTGGACTTTTTCCTTTCTAAAACAACATGAAGACTTTTGATCAGCACGTTACTTTGGTGCTTGGAAGAGGAAGGAGATGAAACCTTCATCAAGAACTAATTGGATGGGCTAATACAATTACTAAATGGCTGTTTAGCTCTCAGCGATTAAGAGGAATTGAAATGCAATCTAATAATAAGTAAGAAGTACTTGTTATATATTGGTTTCATTCATTCATGGATCCAAACATACCCTTATAAGTGAATTTGGCGTGTGCGCTCCGAAAACGTGTGAACGTTTCATTTTGAACTTGGTATATGTATATTCTCTCTATACCAAAAACATAGTACGATGCTTGCTTATCTAGATTTGTATTTAAATTGTTCTTTTACGGAAGGAGTATATATGCTTTGTTGCTATATATAATAATAAAGCGGTCGAGAGATCGACGTGTTATCATATGGGCCTGTTCGCTTGTCTGAATTTTAAAGGAATCTGGATGGTTTGGAGGAATGTTGGAGGAATTTGTGAGAGAAAAACATTATTCTGAATAAAAAAATAAACGGATCAAACCGGATTTAAGGACACGCGAGCGAACGGGGCCATAAACAAAAAGGGTGGTTGGATGGCTTTTGAGAAATACATTCACTCCTATACTACTATTTCACGTGTCAGATTCTTTGCCATTTAGATTTTCTTTCTCTATCAAAAATTGGCATCGTATTGTGTGGTCATCATCTACATTGTTGTCGTTGTCGATACGGATAAGATTGGATGGCGAGGGTGCCACCGTGTAAAGTCGTCATTATTGTCCCATATCCCCCATCCAGGCATATTTGTGTACGAGTAGTACTAGTACAATAAAGAATGAAGTGGAAAAATTAACTGGTTGTAATAATGTGGCCTATATATAATCAAAACCGGAGGTAAAATGTACCTCATTCGAAATTTCAAACGAGGTGGTACTATATATATAGTTTTTTTTTTGCATGAATGTGGTCAGAATGGATATCCTCTTGATGCAGTGTATTTACCATTTAGTATAAAGCCCAGTTTAGATCCTCTAGTTTTTAGTTAATTTTTAAGAATATAGGTTCTGAAAACTGGGTAGAATTTAAACGGGTCAGTTTTTATTGCCAATTAGGAAGCTGTTGGTATCTAAGTTTTTATCAGTTTCTTATGACCCTAGAGCAATAAATAAAGTCAGATTTTTAAAAACTTGGGATTCAAACAACTCAACCAATTTTTACTCATAATCCAGATTTTGGACATTAGAGCCAAAAAGTAGTTTTTAAGAATCCGAACCGATCAAAACAGTATAAGAAGATCTGGTAGATATGATCAGAGACGGATGAGACGAGACGACAAATGCAGGGCCGCGTGAGGAGGAGCTGAGGAGGTGGTGTGGCCGTCCGGGGAGGCAAATTAAAAAGTTAGTATTGGCGTGTGTGGTTGTGGGTGCCTAACTAACCAACTTAGGCACGGTCGTCGTTCGCTAGCTAGCTAAAAATAATTAATTAATAAGCAAGAACAAGACGAACGTAACGGAATGCTATGTGGTCGCCGTGGTGTGGTGCCGGCGGCGGCCGGAGGGGCTAATAATAAGCGTACGTACCTGGGTTGAACGGCCGACGTGGATCGGGACGGCGCGGACGAGGACGACGTCTCCCACCTTGGCGCTGCGGAAGTGGTTGATGCTGAGACTCACGCCGGCCACCCGCCGGAAGCCCGACGCCATGTGCGCGCCCATGCTGGCCAGGCCCTCCGCCACCAGCGCCGACACGCCGCCGTGGAGCACCTGGAACGGCTGCACCAGCACAGCACGGATGACGGAGGATGAATGATCGATTCAGGCGGTATCTAGCTCGATCATCAAGTCACCATCATCAG